ATGGGCTCTGCTGAGCAGGGGTCCCCAGGTAGGCAAGATGTGGCCTGCGAGTGTCAGCCTCTGCTCAGGTGCTGTGTGCTTACTGGTCCTAATAAATCTCCCGCTGGTGGAATCCCGTTGTAGAGCTCACCCTCCGTACATCCGGTCCCCTGTAACAAAGATACTTCCCCATCCCAGCAAGACAGCCCTGAGTACCGGAGCTGCCCTGATCTGGTTTCAATAAATCTCGTGAACTAAAAATTCCACCGCGCAGATGTTTTTCACTTGCTCCTGTATGGACGATTCTTTATCTCAGAGGTCATGCGATTTTGGCGTTTATGATGGGCGCCGTTCACGTTTACAAAGCATTTTTCAATTGCTTCAGTTCTGCAAAATGTTATTACTGTAAAAGGAAATTTGTGGCACACAATTCCACAAAGATCAGGACTGAGAGAAGTTGAAAAGTCAGGTGATTCTTAAAATCCGGGTAAGGCAATCGGCCAGTAGGGTTTTGTGTAAGAATAATCAAGTTCTTACACGGAAAGACCTTGCTTAGTACGGTGTAGCGTGTGAAGTCTCCTGTTAAATTAGAATATAACTAGAAACTCTGGATGTCTTATGAGTTGATTAAATGAGGTGTGGTCTGCACTGACCTTTTAAAGGAAGAAAAAGTTGCTTTTTCTAAAATAACCCAAGAGCTGCTTTTTTTTTTTTTAACCCAAGAGTTTTTTTTAAAAAGTTTTAAATAAGACATGGGTTCTTAGTCCTCAAACCAGTGCAGCGTGTGATGAAAACAATGCGTAAATCATAGACGGTATCTGTTAGCTGGCTGTTACAGTGATTATCAAATGAGAACCTTTTGTTTTTAAACTGGACTGGCACCTAATGTTTGCCCTGATAACTGCCTTGGTGAACAGCTCTTGAGGCTGTTCAATGAATTGTTTTTAAAGCGCAAGGCCAAATCTACTGATTTCCTGGTTGTTGAGGGACAAGAGGATTTTTTTGTTTCACAAGTAGAGGCACCAGGAAATGAAATAAGATGACTGCATACTGTGTTGAGGAAAACAATACACAGTAAGGTTCGGGGAGATGGCTGTCCCCTAGATCTTTGACAGTCCATGCAAATCTGTCCGCTGTATGTTGGAATGTGAACGGGGAAGGCCTGTATTTCTTCCTATTGCAGACCGCTTATCTCTCTCTCCCTCGGTCATTTTCGTCCAGAAATGCAGAACCCAGCTTTGCTCCGTAAAGCTCAGTAACACAGGGAAGTGAGAAATTCTATCAACTGGAAACGAAAGAGAATTCTATAAGAATAAGCTCTGGGGGATCTGCTGGGCAAAAGGAAAGTCCAAAAAAAAGAAGAAACAGAAGAGCCTGGCCAGTTTCCCCAGAGTAGTTACAACGCTTAGCTTGTCTTTATCAAGTTCTCTTTTTCCTAAAGAGGATCAGCAGTTTTAACTTCTCCCTTTGCTGAAAATAACCCCCCTTTCTCTTGTACTTCAAAGAAATCGCTCCCGGAATTTGTCATTTTTTAAAAAAAAAATCCTCATTCCACGTAAATGTGATGGGCATACAGTCATTGAAATGTAACTATCCAGGGTAACAGCATTCTGGGGGAATGCCTTTGGGGAAGTTACAGATTTAGGACCTCTCAGGCTCGGAAAGAGTTACTTTATCTTTTACGTGTGGCCATTAATTTAAAAGGTTATTTGATCCTCTGGATTCTAGACTATCTTACAGTTACACCTTGGACCATGTGGTTTATATATA